TTTGTAGCTAAATAAAGATAAATAAACTAATGTCCTTAGAAATAACATTTTAGACTCTTGGTTTTGTGATCTTTGTAGATCTAAGTTCAAGAAAACCTAAGCTTAATTTTCTTTTAGGTATTGAGAAGTCTAACAAACAGATTTAGAAGTCTGAGCTGCAAGGGCAAACCCCACCATATTCTGGAAGATTTGCAGTGGAATTAAGAGTATGGGAATACATTATGTTTCCATGCACATGCACTCTCATTTGTGGGTGTGGATGTAAGGCCATAGGACACTGCGCTGCATGGTTTTTGTCTTATTTGCATGCTCTCAATTTTACTGTGCTCCATTAAGATGAGGTGGGGGGTGGAACATTCTGGAAAGAACAGGAAAAAATGTTCTTTGCAATGGGAGCTCCTAAATATACCTCCTAAATATTTCCTTACTCCTCTGCTCTGAGATACTGCTGGGTGTAACAGGCTAGGGAATCACATCAGAGAGCTGCAAGCCAGCAGTTTTTGCAGTGGCTGAAGAGAGATGCACAGAGCAAAGCCTCGGAGCTGTTGAAAAATGGATGCTTTCAGAGGCATCCGAGGAGGTGGCAGATTTTGCTGCAAATCAAAGTTAATGAGGTAGTTGTAGCCTTCACCTGGCTCATCTTCTCACCATGTCGGAGGCTGTTAATGGAGCCTGTTGCCTGGGGGGGATGGCACCACATCTGTGAGGGCATGGCCTGCACCAAGATGACTTCAACCCCTGGCTCAGCATCCCTCATGGAGCAGCCCTGCTCAGGCTACTCACTGACAAATAGTTATTTGGGTGGTTTATGGCTTTCATAGTGGAGGTTCCAACAAGTCATAGAATTACTTTTTCCAAAAGGCAACAACTATATTTCAAACTGATAGCACCGATGTGGTACATACTGTGAAAACAAATGGGTTAAGTGTCCATGCAAACTATGCAGAGTCTTTGCTTTACCCTTAATAAACACAACATTGTTGATGCAAAAATGTCCCTGAAAATGATTATAAAGAACCACCTATGGTTTGGTATAAATCCTCAAAGGGAAGATAATTGGTATTACTGTTCCTATGCCACCCCTTTTCTCCAGTCAAGACAGGGACATTGTAGAATTCAGTTATGTTTGGCTGATCAAGCTGACAGTCTGTATTCCTAAGGCTGTTGGCAGCGAGCATAAGTCAGAGCAGCCCTGAGGTTGATTTAATTTATACTGATGGACCTGCTGGAATAGACTGACCTCAGAATGAACTTCATCCTACCTTTTTACCCCTTTTCCTTACCTAGGCTATATACTACTTAGCATAGCCTATTGAGTGTATAAATAAGTATACATGCATTTTATTTTTCAGTTGAAAAATTGAAAGCCACTGAATAATTTCCCCAATACTTAAGTAGGTCTAAGACTGCCTCCAGGAAATTCTTTCCTGCTTTTATTTTGAGTTGAAACATAATTTGGGCAGTTCAAAGCAGTGTAAATAATCATGCAGAGCAGTCAATACAGTTCATAGTTTCTAGAGGTTTAACACACTTAGATGGCATCTAGACTAGAGATATAAATAAAAATCTATCCTTTTAGGAAACAATTTTTAAAAAGACCAGCACCTATTGTAACGCTATAACCCAGTAATATAGTATTGCCAGTGCAAGTAACAGGCCACAGGCTTTGTACTGAGATTGCAAGACCATGGCACAGAGGCTTGCTACCTTTGCTTTGGCTGAACTTTTTGAATACTTCCAGGGATTGTGATTGCACCACTTCCCTGGACAGCCTGTTCCAATGCCTAACCACTCTCGCCATGAAGAGATTTTTCCTAATATCTAATCTAAACTTCCCCTGGCACAACTTGAGGCCATTTCCTCTTGTCCTATCACTTGTTACGTGGGAGAAGAGACCAACCCCCACCTCACTACAATGTCTTTTCAGGTAGTTGTAGAGAGTGATTGTCTTAATGTGCCTGCAGTTTTGGTTTTGACTTGGTTTAGTTTTAACATTTTTTTCTTCTGGCCAGATGGCTATGGCTGCTCACGGCTTGGATGGGTGCACTCTGCGCTGGGTTAAAAACTGGCTGGATGGCCGAGCCCAAAAAACTTGAAAAAGTAGTCTGTAAGAAGGCCTTGTCACAGGATCCCAGAATGCAGAAAGAAAAGAGATGAACCTGAATTTGGGCTTTTTCTTTAAGAAATGTAGTAATTTCATCTACTTCAAAATGTTGAAAAGCATTGATATGCAAAGACACTTATGCAAACTGACTGAAGGATGTAGTCATAAGCAACTCTTCAAAATATATAACAATAAAGTCAAAATAAGGCGAGCTAATCTGAATATGTGTGTACATATGTATGTTTATTTTCAGAAAATTGAGAATATCTACCAAAAAAGATCTTAGACGTTTGAGCTAGGTAAGTGTGTAAGAACATCAAGTTTTTATGGTTTATTATTGTAGAAGTTTATAGGTAGCAATAAATTCGCATCCAGCAAGTTGGAAAGCTTCAGTATCACAGTAATAGGCCATAACACTTACCATTTGATCTAGACACTCTGTTCCAGTTATTTGTACCTATAAAGAGCTGTTGCTCGAGATTAAGACTGTGCAAAATAAATCTTGTTTATGGGCAAACACCTTCTACATAAAGCAATAATAATTTGTTAGTAGAATTGAGATCTTAACAGTTTAAGCCATGAATCATTTTCGGCCTCAAGCTGTGCCAGGGGAAGTTTAGGTTGGATATTAGGAAGAACTTCTTCACCAAAAGGGTAGTCAGGCATTGGAACAGGCTGCCCAGGGAAGTGGTTGAGTCTCCATCCCTGGAGGTATTTAAAGGACGGATAGACATGGTGCTTGAGGACAAGGTTTAGTGGTGGACTTGGCAGTGACAGTTTAATGGTTGGACTTGATGATCTTAAGGGTCTTTTCCAACCTTAACGATTTATGATTCGCTTTACTTTCACTTGTCATTGTATAATACCACCATAGTTTTATAGAGATAGTAGTAACAAGTGATCATTCAGTACAAAATGAGATATTTATGATTAACATAGCAAAGCAATGCAGAGGAACACAGGCACAATATAATAGTAGAGGCCTCAAGAAGTGGGGATGCAGGATGCACTGTACTGGAGTACAGGTCCAGGATAAGAGACGGGGCACAGGCTGGCACTGAGGACCCCATGGCTATTAACAACTCACCAGTGGTCAGTTAAAATGCAGAACTATAGCCAGACAAAGCCAATTTATAAGTATCAAGAAAAAAAGAACAGGTACCTAACATATGTAAAAGATACCATATATGTTCAGATATATCATAGAGACGCAGACCAATGGAGAATAAGCAAGGTGTAAAAGAACACTAGCAAACATAAGTGACCCCAAGTGCACCCTAGAGTGAAAAAGAAGCCATCAACACCACATTCCTCCAGATCATGACTTGCCATAACGACCCCACCACCACCAGACTGCAGCCACTGACCTTACGACCAAAAGCAGCAGTGGAAAGGTGAGCATAACACCAGGGAAAGGAGTAGAAACTAAGTGGCTGTGTAACAATTTCAACTGTATTATTACTATTAGGAGAATTTTTGTTTAGGGATATTACTGTAATACTGCTATTTCTGTATATAAGTATTTTGTGTAATACTAGATCTGGACTAAGAATCATAAATCGTTAAAGTTGGAAAAGACCCTTAAGATCATCAAGTCCAATCGTTAAGCTACCACTGCCAAGTCCACCACGAAACCATGTCCTCAAGCACCATGTCTATCCGTCCTTTAAATACCTCCAGGGATGGAGACTCAACCACTTCCCTGGGCAGCCTGTTCCAATGCCTGACTACCCTTTTGGTGAAGAAGTTCTTCCTAATATCCAACCTAAACTTCCCCTGGCACAGCTTGAGGCCGAAAATGATTCATGGCTTAAACTGTTAAGATCTCAATTCTACTAACAAATTATTATTGCTTTATGTAGAAGGTGTTTGCCCATAAACAAGATTTATTTTGCACAGTCTTAATCTCGAGCAACAGCTCTTTATAGGTACAAATAACTGGAACAGAGTGTCTAGATCAAATGGTAAGTGTTATGGCCTATTACTGTGATACTGAAGCTTTCCAACTTGCTGGATGCGAATTTATTGCTACCTATAAACTTCTACAATAATAAACCATAAAAACTTGATGTTCTTACACACTTACCTAGCTCAAACGTCTAAGATCTTTTTTGGTAGATATTCTCAATTTTCTGAAAATAAACATACATATGTACACACATATTCAGATTAGCTCGCCTTATTTTGACTTTATTGTTATATATTTTGAAGAGTTGCTTATGACTACATCCTTCAGTCAGTTTGCATAAGTGTCTTTGCATATCAATGCTTTTCAACATTTTGAAGTAGATGAAATTACTACATTTCTTAAAGAAAAAGCCCAAATTCAGGTTCATCTCTTTTCTTTCTGCATTCTGGGATCCTGTGACAAGGCCTTCTTACAGACTACTTTTTCAAGTTTTTTATTACAGAGCTTCTGGTACTCCTTTTTGGCTCATTGTGGGTCTTACTCAAGAGTTATCCTTGTTTTGCTTTTCTGTGTTTATTTCTTCCACCATGTATGCTCCCAAACTATTCAAAGTTTAAATGCATGTATGATATACTTTCTTGCTCAACCTCACCCTCTTGTAATAAAAGACTTTCTAGTGAAGGATAAAAGTATGCTCTCACATGGCAGCAGTGAAAGGCAAGAATATTACAAGGTACCTTTCCAATTTTCCCTCAAAACAGTTTTCAGTACCTAGTAACAGCATGAAATGCCCAAGAAAGGCAAACAAAAATTAAGAAGAGGGATGACTAAGGCCCTACATCTCTTGCATTCATAAGGACACTGAAGGCAACTTTAGCACAGAGTAACAAAGCTCCTGTTCTACCCGTCTACAAGATAATAGGAACCTTTGCTGTGGAAGAAGATGCACTGTGATACTGACAGCTCTGTCAAATTCATATAACTTACCGTAAGCGGTTGTTTTTCTGTGTTGTGTAACTAGTATTCTTGCATCTTGAACCAACATTACAGAAAAGGCTCCGCATGAAAGGGTAAAGGCCCCGACTTGGTAAATCCCGAGCTTCTAAGTAACCTAAAACCAAGCAGCAGCAGAATTAAAACCAGTGACATTGCAGTTACAAACCTGTACAATCATCACATTGTGTTCCCTTCTCCTAGAAAGTGGCTTTGTTGCCTGCAAACAATGAAGTTGTATCAATGGGAGGTGTCCCATTTAAGAACTAATTCACCACAGAAAATGAATAACTTTATGTCAGATTGTGACAACAGGGTTACATTTGACAGCAGTCTTTGAAAAGCTGATTTTCATGGTAGTAACGCCATTGCAACATCACACACTTTCTAGCCTCTCTGCCCAAAATGTCTTGTGACCTAGATCAGAATATAGACTTCTTCAAAAAAATAGTATTTCCTCTTTCCTCCCAGGCTTTCATGACATGAAGGAACTGGTATTCATCAATGTCTGAACATACATCCATCAAGACTATCTAAACAGCAACTTTTCCACATCTCTGGAATTTATCCATATCTCTCCATAGTTCTGACAATTGAAACTTAAAAATGTAACACAACTTTTTGCTTATTTTGAAACATAAGGAATAGCTATAGTTCCTATTTAACTTCATTTCTCTGTTTAAAACAGCTAAAATTGAGAAATACTTGAAAACTTATTCCCGTCTTCCTCTGGATAACCTTCTTTTGGTCTTCCTCTGGATAACCTTCTTTTGGTAACCATCACATCCAAATTAAGGGAATGAAATGAGAAGTAGATAAGAAATCTAGCATTTGGGCTAGCAGTCTTACTGAATATTCAGAACTGAAAGAGGCAGAAATAGGAAATTTACTACATGTACACGATACTTAAAAATCATAATTTTATTTAAATTTAGGTGCCAATATTTGAGACATGTACCATTAGAAATTGCACTGTTAGTCAAACCATCCTTCATTCCTCAGGAACTGTACCTAATGTATAAAATAATGGTCACTGTGAATGACCAGTGCCATTTGCAGACGAGTTATTTTTACTTAGCACACTCCAGTTCACATTGTAGAAAGCTCTCTGAGCACATACACTGGATCCCTTTCTGCTAAAACAAAGCAGATGTACTCCAAGAGCACACTTAAGGTGCTCAAACCATTAGCATGCATTGCATTCTTGGGTCCAGACTAGAGCGAGTCTAAATTAAATGTATATAGTGCAGGCTAGATTCTCTCCAGATATTTCACTCTACAGATCTATAATTGTTCTACCAAATTGGTTTATAATGTAGCTAAAACTGGTTTATCCCCAGTTTACTGACATCTGTGAATAACAGAATAATAAACCGAATAGACTATAATATCACAAGTCATTCTTTTCTGAATGAAGTTAATGCTTGACAAGATAAAAGCAAAAAGAACTTTATAAGGTGGAGGTAGTCATAACAAGTGTTGAAGTGTTGAGGGAAATGGAAGAAGTTATTATTTACAAAATGTTCATTCTACATCCCAGGAAGTGGGTAGGGGTAAGATTCATCTTGTCTAACTGTTAATATCTACTGCATAATTATCTACCTCCGAGCCCGTCATCTAAACTCCATTACTCAATAAAAAGAAATACATACAACTAAAACCCAAGTAATCCACCTCACTCCAAAGTAGATCTCTAAAACTGACCTGACAAATCAGACCTTAAACTTTGTATTTCTTTCCCGCCTAAATATGACTTGCTCAGATCCACAGCTAGACAAGACTGAATCCCACTGTAAGATTCTTTCCATTGACTCCATTACATTTAAGCCCCCCCTTCTACAATATTTTTAATATTTCCTAAATAATTCTACAAGCAGAGGCAACCAAAACAAAACACAGGCGAAACAAAACATACAGTTTTCCTTGTACTTTGGGGACTCCTGGAAGCGGATTGCAGCCAGAATCAAGAAAAGCACACATGGCCAGAGTATTTCAGTGAGAGACAGGACCTGAAAAGGGAAATCAAAACATCGTCAGTACTATAGAAAACAGGATTTGGGAACAAATCACTAAAATTCATATATCTTTTAATAAAAAAAATTAAATATCCCCTCTACAACTACTTAAGGGAAAATAAGATGATTAAAAGCAAATTAGTAATTAAGACTTCTATTTAAAATCCTTATAATTTTGCCAAATACACTGCTTTCAGAATACAAAAGCAGTTTTCACCTTCTATTTATAGTGTTTGCAGATATTTCCCCCGGCCAACACAGTGACTCTGACAACATAATGACAGTGACATCCAGCTTTCCCATACCTGAGCCTCCTAAGAAGCCAGCAGCATTCTGCATCTTGCTGCAACTCCTCATGCTCCCCTGAAGCCTGCTGTCCTGAACCCTGCCTGGCAGCATGCCTTCTTGTACTTCCCTGGCTCCCTGACTGCCATTATACCCTTTCTTTCACCTGCAGTCACCTCTCTCCAAAAGTTGCCTTTGTCACCCCCAGCAGCAGGCCATTTTGAGACCAGGCTAATGGGCCTGATGCTGCCCACTGCCACGCTTCTCATTTCCCTGCCTTCCCATTTCCAGGGACACAAGGAAAAGGCACCCAAGCTGATACGCTGTGGGACTTGCAGATTTTGACCGTGTCTCCTCTGAGCAAGTTGCACATACACGGTATGTGCTTGAGCCTCTGCAGAGGCTTGTTTTTCCCCCAAACAGATTGCACAGAGGGGGGGAAAAAAGCAAAAAAAAAAAAAAAACCAAAAATAATTGTCTCAATTTTCAGCTGCAAAAAAGAAGAAACTGCCATTCAGCCAACTTTCAAAAGACTTTAGATTCACTGGTAAAAGTGCTAGGAAAGCATGAATACCAAACTCAGTAACAGAAGTGTAGTAGAAATTACAAAGAACCACACTAAAGATCTCCCATTAGAGGCTATTAACTTCTCCGAAGGCTATTGAGGATTTTTATTTCTAAGCTGTCAGAGTTGAATCAAATCCCACTGGGGAAGTGATCCTAAACTTGAGTATGTTAGAAAAATACCTGAGAAAAGTAACATAATGCTTAAGAACAAAATCCAATGGCAGAGTCTTCCTTGTGGAAAAGTCCTGCTCTGCTGAACACAAGGCAAGGAACTAAAGGCTACCTGAAATTTTGGGAAATTGCCATTTATCTAACTGAACACTCTCCGAACCCAAAAGGAGCCAACAAAAAAAAAAAAAAAAAAAAGGCCTGGTGCTTTCAAATTTTCAGGGAGCAGTGAGGGCCAGCTGCTCCCTAAGGCACGGGGAGCCATGGATGGTAACACCTCCCAGCAGGGCAGGGGCCTCAGCAGCTGGGGACCCATCCCACAGGACCCCACGAGGCAAGTAAGGCAGGCCCAGCCAGCTTCAACCAGGAGTCCTGATCCTCAGGAAAGGCTGTGGTGATGAGGCAGCACCACGGTCAAACCAGAAAGGCAGCATCCAAGCACAAGAGCTGAGCTGGAGAGCGGTGCTCCTCTGACTTCACCCAGTCAGGAGCTGAGCCCTGGGCCCAGCTGGAGCCCCAGGTGAGGGGGCTGGCCAGGGCCATTAGGGCTTAGTGGTGCCCCCAGGGCTCTGGCAGCAGCCTACCCTCCTGGGCATGTTCATCAGCATACCTCCCATCTGGGACTGTCCTTGCTGTGGAGCGGTGCCATCATTTCTGGATATCAATGGGCTGTTTTGGGGCAGTGTGGAGCCAGGTACAACAGATGAGGAAAGGAATGCTGTAGAAGAGACTTGGGGGGGGGGGGTGTCACCAGGCTGCCGATGAGGGGCTGGAAAGGGTCAAGGCTGCCCCTGGAGACACACACCACCCCCTGGGGGGGTCCCCAGGCCAGTGCTGGGGGAAGCCCCATAAGAAGCCCAGGCAGGGGGTCAGGGCTGTGGAAGACCAGAGCTCAGGGTGAAGCTTGCAGGGGGAAGGCCCTGGACAGCCACAGGCCAGGCTCCCTGGTGCTCACCTCAGGGCTGAAAGCAACCTAAGCTGGCAGTCAGGGCACAGCACCAGCCACCTGCTCCCTAAAGGGCAGGGAGCCAAAGGGGATGCCAGGCCAGCAGGGTCCTTGCCAGGCAGGGCCTGTCCTGCAGCACCCCAGCAAGGCAAGCAGGCTAGGCAATGGCAGCCAGGTTCAACTGAGAGCCTGGATATCCAGGTGAGTCTGCAGCAATGAGACAGGCCTAAGATCAAACCAGGAAACTAACCCATAGGCTATGGTCACATCCAATATGAGCAGCCAGGACCAGACATGGTCCTACAATCACTAGCAGAATCAATAGAAAAGTACAGCTGATCCAGAAACTACCACTGCTACTGAAGGCCCCAGACTGAGTTTAAATAGGGGCAGGGCTGGGTGTGTGGGTGGAGGCCCCAGGTGAGGCTGTTCAGTACCATTAAGACCTATCAGTGCCCTCAGAGCCCTGACACCTGTGAGCAGAGCTGTAGGTATATTTAGGTATTCACTTGATAATGCCTTCTAGATAGGATAGAGCTACTTATCACCTGCTCTTCTTTGCTTTTCCTCATCTTTGTGTAAGCTAGAGAAGCTACTTGGGATTCTGCATTGTGGGGACTCTCTCTGGGGAACTTGTAGACTAACCAAAGTCTTCTGATTTCAAGCTTGCTGTTCTGTTCTCTATCCCTCCTACTGCATGGGACTTTTACCAGGGAATTCCTTTACCTCTAGCAAGCAGGTCAAGCATAAATAAAGAAACTGAATGTGTTTCAATAGCTTTCAAGTCCATTGCACAATATCCAGAATCATACTTGTGGGCACTGGGCACTAAAATAACTGTGCCAGCTTTTTGCTCTTTCAGTACAACAACCAGGACAAAACACAAAATCATGTAAATAAAACCAAGGTGAGGAGCCACCACAGCTAATTCCAGGCAGCTCTACTTCTGAAAGCCCAGGACTGGACTCATGGCCAAAACAAGTCACTGGTTGTCACCAACCAAAAAAACCTTGATGTTCTTGGTTCTATTTAACAAAGACTCATGATGTGGGAAGAACAGGAATGGCTTTACCTACGAGCTCAGTCACCAGTATCCAAACTGTTAGTAAAAAAGGTAGTCTTATTGTACAGAGCTAAATCTAGGCCTTAACAAAAGGATGTGAATTTGGAGCAGCATTTCACTAGGACATGTATTGGTGAGAGTACCTCTTTGGTCAAGGAAATCTAACACGTTATTTGTAATTAGTACAAAGGTTTCAAGCAAAAACTGCAGGGAATTAAGTATGTTGGTAAGAGGAATTTATTTGTGCTACAAAGCAGAGAAGGAATAGACTTGGTTTAACAAAGGTAACAAAGGCCTTCCCGTAGGGACAGAACAGATTTTATTAAATGTCTCTGGAGAAATAGACCTGGGATCAAAAATATCACACTATCTTATCACTAAAAGTGAAGAAGAGCATGATACTAGCACTGTGGGATACTTTTGAGCTGTACAAACAGCTTCATAGGACTTATGGTATCTGAAAGATTCTACTTGCTTACCAGAACAGAAAAGCAGAAAACATATTGTATTTCCCATCAACTGAGACAAAACAAAAACCTACTAGTGGAGAAACAAATTTCCCATCAATTCAGAATAAGGCAGACTTCTGACTTTAAAATCTAGATTAGTTCACCCAAACAAACACAGAAATACCCTCATTCTGGACCTTCTTTTTTCTTACCATTTCCCCTATGAGGCTGCATTAAGGACCAGTCATTCATATTTAAGATAGCTGTGAAATTAATTGGACTTTCTCCACGCACACTCCCTTTCGTATACCATTGCAGGTCACCAGAGGCCCACTCTTGCAACTTTCATGGGGTGTGATACATCACTTGGCCTAAAACTTTGAGTGACATTCTTCCTGTAGATTTTCATGGACTTTGGATGCAGCCAAGGAAGCTCATTTGTTTCAGGCAGACTTTAGTTAATTGGTTTTGGCCTGTTCCTGGGCTTTTTTCTCTGCAATTACATTTTAGAAATATTTTGAACTTTAAGAGTTTGACCCATTGAGAATTGCTGCTGGATTATCAGATGGTATGGAAAACAAAACAGAGAAAGGGGAAGAAATAACCCATTTATAGGTATAACTCAGTGTCATTGGGCTAGAAATACAATAGAATACTCTGTGACTAGAAAAGTCACACAGGTTGTAACATAGTAGGGTATGCCAGGTACAGAACAGTTACAGTTGAGAACTCTCCTCTGGTTTAAGCTCTTCCAAAATTAATTTGCTCAGTCAGAATATCCAAAAATCTGGCATGCAGGGAAGGGTTATTATTCCAAATCTGGGACAAATGAGCCAAAGATTCTTAAACTACAAAAATACAACAGCAGCATTTTTTTAAATGGGCAAATTCTCTCTTTTTTTTTTTTTTTGCACGACCCTAGGGATCAAAATGAACATTGCACAATGCCACTAGCATTGGCACTGGGGGAGAAAGGCACCAAATTAAAAGAGCTGTAAACAATTGTTGTTCTCATTCTGGGCTGCATTCATTCTCCTTGATTGTTGCCATTCACCTGAGAAACTTCATTGCACCTAAAGAATAGGGTTAATAGCAATGATTTTGGTGAATCTATAAAATTCAGTGTTTAATAAATATATCAAATTCACAACTGGAGAATACCAGTGAGCCAAGCAAGTATAGGCCTATTAGAATAAATTCTGTTGTTTAGAAGGTTTTTAGGAAAACAAATAGTTTCCCCATTTTCCATTTATCTCCAGAATTTCAGTACACATTAATGGCTTATCAGAGCTAGACTTCTCAGTCTAACATGCTTATGCCTTTTTTTGTTAGAGTACCATGAGTCTGGATGCAGATAATAGCAGTTGCAGGGAACCTAGGAACCTAGAAGTAATCCTATTGACCATATTGCCACAGTCTGCTCCAGCTGTCCTTACTACCACCTCAACCACTGCCTGGGTAGCAACAGCAGCAACGCTGCAGCTGATGAGGGACTGTGAAATAGTTAGGATTTTTTTCCAACCTCCAAAAGGGCCCTTAGCAGTCCTGTCCTTTGGTAAGCTAATGATTTTTTTAGGTGAATAAAACAAACCCCACTCAGCTGGCTCCTGCAGAGCATGCAATAGCAGCAGGATTTGGGATAAGTACAAGGACTGAAAAGGCAGCTGCAGAGGCAACAACAGCAGGTTGGGCTGAAGTGGAAATAGTTGGAGAACACAATGAACCATCAGCACACTGCAGACATTAAGCAAGGAAGACTGATGTTATTGAGCAAGTTATTCCTGGTAAAGGTGGGAAGTAATACTGCTGTATGAGGCATATTCATGTTCAAATAGGAAAGGCAACAAGAGAAGAAGGTCCAAAGAAAGGGCATTTGAAAGATGGCAGCCCTTGCACAGCTGCTTTGCTCAGGCACTGAGGGGAACAGGGGTCTGAGAGCTCATGCCGTTCTGCTGGGTTACACCTGGGAAGAGTAACGGATCTTTAGGACCTGCCTGACGAAAGCAGACAACTTTGCAACCATTCACTGGGGTTTTTTTGTTTGGTTTTTTTTTTTTGCACTGATGCAAAAACATACATGTGCAAAACAGAAGGCACTCATCAGTAAGCAACTTTTAGGGATGTTTATGTTTTTTAAAGTGTGGAAGAAAGGAGTGTCAACTGTAAAGGACAGAAACCAGGCAAAGATGACACTCAGTGTAGGGGCAGATGAAGAGCAAGAATTATACCAGCATTTTCTGTCATGCTTAACATTAACCCAAAATGAAAATGATTAATAATAGCAACTTTTTAAAAAAGGCATAGTCTTAGGATAGGCTATGTTTCTGTTTTCTCCTAATAGCTGTATTAGCAACTACACGCTCCAAGCATTTCACAACGTGATTATAATCCCAATTCTCCTCTAAATTAGGGTATCAGAAAAAGAGAATTTGGGAATCACATTTCATCCTTTACCTAGCTGCAAATTTAGATGGTAATAAATACTATATAAACAATAGAAGAAATGAAGTGATAGAAAACTTAAGTAATACAATTGCCTGATGTATGTATCTATCTATCTCCTGAGCTTCCAGAATCTGTACTTCAGAAGCAAAAGCTTCTGAAAGCAGAAATGAGAAGCTGTCTTCTACACAACTGCAATTTCAAACTCCAACTGATGTCCAAACGTACATATTATCCTGTGCTGCCTTTGAACCATGTCAATAAGAGGCGCCGATGCCTGTCTGAATTTCAGTCAAAACACCTACTCTTTACAGAACACTTAGGTCTTTCACAGCCCCTTCACCCTTCACTGTGTGATATCAGCTAATGCCACATGGCACTCAGGACATATTCTTAGTTCAACAGAGCACGCTTGTCTTCTAGCCCTAACTGCTGATAAATAACCATGAGAAGACAACTGCCTTCTACAGATAGATCTACACGATATAATACAGAGCTGAAGCACATCAGATCTTTCAGGAGATGCTTCTCTCGTCAGATTCAGAAAGGTCTGTCCTGCCGTTTCCATAGGCGGGTGATCCACCTGGATTTCCCCTTGCGTAACTGCAGATGGAGCGCCTTCGTGGCTCTGTGTTCACACAATGAGCACGTAGGGAGGTTTTGCAAATTCCCCAGGGCAGCTCCTGGCTCTGAACAGGCAGAATCAAGTTTGCTTTGGGTCATTTATTTTAACTCCTGGTTTGGGGAAGTCTGCATCGCAGTGAGCTCGCTATTCAGGAAAGCTACCTATTAGGCAAACTTAAAACTTACATGAATGAAGATTTTGTCCTTCAAAAATATATAAGAAGGAAAACTAGACAGAGCAAGAAGAGAAATAGATCACCATGGAGGAAAACATGAGATACTGAGAAGCCACTTAATGCACACCAATTAAAGTATGAGGAACAGGGAACATACAGAAGTGTTTAGGAATGGAGAAGAATATAACCAACAGCACCCCTCCCCCCAAAATGTCTTTCATACTAAACAACATCACCTGAAATCATTTGGAGAAGAAATTCTCTCTCTAAATCACAATTTTATTTAAGTGAAATATTTCCGAAATGAAAAGGTGTATGTTTATTTAATTGAGGTAATCCTATCCGAAGCAGCCAACATGCCTCATTGCAAACCCCCAGATCATCACAGACAAGGGAAATCAATGAGAAACTATTATTTGAAGTGACTTTTTCTTTCCCCAAAAATCTTATCTCACTTGAGAAAATTCACTTCCTTCTATCTTAAATTAAAAAATCGCGTCAATCACAGTAAAAGCAAACAATGACATCTCATCTCGTATTTGAGTATTATTTTAATTTTGACTGCTGTTGAAGTAGCTGCCACATTCTGCACACTGGAATTTGAAAGGTTAAATTAGGCTTTATAGAGTGGATAAGAAAGGAAATTTAGAAGTACATACAATTTTAATGTACAGTCCTTGCATTCCCCATATCTAGACCTTGATCACAATTGTGCAAGCTTTCTTACACTACCAATGAGTACCTGTATGTAATTTTCCAAAACTCACCGGTTGCCTCACACGGCAGAGCCAATTCTTCCAAAACAGAGCCTTGAACTGGTGTACAGCGTGCCCCATATTGTCTTTTCTTTCCTTCACCCACTTGCAGAGTGGCTTATTAAGGACTTTCTAATTCAGAATCATCTTGCCAAGCAGTCTGAACATATTATTCAGAAGCTGATTAATTCCAGCACTAGAGAACGGTGCAAGAGATTTGCCTGCTTGCTGAGAAAAGATGAGATTATGTTTCTGCCTCTTGTTCTGCATCACTGAGGAATCTCATCTTTCCATCTGCTGCTCAGTGCAATGAACAGTAAGGGGATGGGTTTGTATAAATGCCTTCAGGGTGCTTTACTCCACAGTATATGTTCTGCACTTGTTTCTACTTTTCTGGAATAAAAATGAATGTAAACAACAGGAAAAAAGAATATGTAACACACATTTGCCTTTTTCCAGAGTTTGGTGACTTTCTGTCACTACAGTGTTAATGTCATTTTGCATGCATACGCTTAGATTTCTGAAAAAAGAATAGTAGGAAAATAAGTACACTCTTTAACCACGTAGCCCTATAAATGTCTGTATATATATATACACCCTTATAAGTACACATCTAGCACTGTGGTGGTCCCATTGCATCACCATACGACAGTTTAATTTTATCTTATAAAGGGTGTGTGTTTGACATTTCATTCTCCTTTTTCAGTATACATTACCGACGTAAAGGTGGAATATTCCAACGAGTCAGAAGACCGTGTTAATTAATTGCCACATGCCACCCAGGATGAAAATCAGTCTTCCAGCATTTCCTTCAGCAAAGAAGAGGGAGGGCAATTCCCGGAGCTGCGCGGAGGGATCTGCAGGAGGGGAGCCTGCGCATACCTGTGGCAGCAGGGCCACCCGGAGACACAGCCGGTGTCCGGTGGTGCAGAGCTGTGCTGTTTTACTGGGGGGTGAGGAGGACTGCCCTACCGATTGGGAATGCCACCTTGAGCAGAGGAGTAAACTTTCCGTACGTTTTGTTCTACCCAAATGAATTGCCTAAGATAGAATCTGATCCCCAAAAGCTCTCTCTATGGTCGATGGAGACACATAACACAGCCATTATAGAAGGTGATTCAAACCACCTATAATCTGAATCATGAATCACACATACATACACATTAGGACAGTGTGATGCCTGAACAAATATTCATTATTTCTCATTATTGCTGAGTAAATTGCATCATTACATTGTCTGCAAAATGTATTACTATTGAATGAGAGAGAGATCTTAACATTCATAGCTATTTTTCCACATTAAGAGTAAAATCCCCAAAAATGTAAAAACCTTTTGGATACAGAAGTCACCAGTGAGGAATCCAACTTCCACTAAATTTGAGCTAAGGCAGAAATCTAAAAAAATTAATGAGTCTGATACTTCTGCAATGAGCAACTGCGCATCTGTAGGTTCACTGAGCTCTGCCAGTTTCCATGAGATGAGGTTCAGCTGGTGTCTTATGTCCAGTGCCTGAGCTTCCCTTTTCCAAGCTTTGGATTTGGGACACCCAGCAGCATTTTTTGGCCCTCCAGAGCATCTTGTGAAGCTTAGTTACTCCACTTCATGTTAAACTGACTGATTAATCTGTTAAAATCTTTGTATTTGAAACAGTGAAAATTCCTGTTTTAATTTTTACATTTTGCATGGGTTCAAGGAGTAGAGAAAAAACAGATTATATAGGTGTCATGAATTCATAAATTTTTACATACTGGTAAAAATCCCCTCCCAGCACAGCAGAAATCACAGATGCAGTCATGGCAGAATATGACTAGTTGAACGCCTTTATTCCTCAAATATGGTGGGATTTCCTTTTATTTTCTCTGCTCTGAGACCAAAAAATTACTGAAGTAATCATTTAGCTTTAAACAGAAATGTGAAGGTCCTCAGGACATACTAAAGAACTAAGTACTTCAGTGTTTACCTGAATGATGTTAAGCATGTTTGTACCCCTAAGGTAGGATTAATTAAGTTATGTATGAAGGTGGGTCTATTGAGCTCATCTTCTGTTCTTCTGTTAACCCCTATTTTCCACTCCACTCCTCCGTCGTCGTGGTACTGGCAAAGTGCGCACCTCCAGCGGTCCTCGAGCAGGTTACCATCTTTCTGCTTCCTCCAGTGCCAAGGAGCAGCCCCTGTGCTGCGTGACAGAGCCACGCGTCCCCCGTGTCTCACCTCTCCCATCATCCCCCCGCGGTGGGGCTCTCCTCTTACGCATGCCCTACGGTGGCAAAGTGTAGCTGGGCAAACGACCGAAAAGGAAGACCATACCCCACCAAGGAGCTCCACTTCACAGCCGGCTGGCATTTGCATAAGGGATGTCTCTGCTTTTAGTCAAGCAATGCCAAAATCCCTGCTATTTCAGAGTATGTACAGTAATTTTGCTCACTAGGACCAAAGGCAAAATTCTGACATAGCTGAGATGAAAATTCTGTGCACAGCTGAAGTATGCATTTTTAAACAAATATTTGTCAATAATTGAGTGTTATGAATACATGAATGGGTTCTCACAGCCGTTGTGGAAAGCTGGGGAGCAGAATCTATAGTGTGTGATTTGCAGGAAATGATAAACTAATCAGTCAGCATAATGAATTACAAGCAGTTATTTATCAAAGCAACTGATACGGAAGCCAGTTCCTGGCTGCAAGTATGTAAGCTAAAACAGCTCACATGAACCATTTCCCACATTATTTTGAACAAGTAATTCTGCAAAATCTCTGCTCATCCGACTGTGTGATGTGCATAATTTATTATGCTCTATATAATTACATACTCATAAATGTTGTGTTCTGTTTTTTTAATGCTAAAGAGCTTTTCATGGATACAGGAAACAACTATTTTGTGTGCAATTAGTATTCAGTATTAATGAACTACTGACTCCTCGTTTTACTATATAAGACACCCACCAGACAAACAGCCCTCACGGCAAGTTCTGTTAACTTCATTTGCCCTCATACATCATTGTTCTTTCCTAAAGAAATTCATTCTTGCCTAGTATGGTGTTCTGCAGTAGTAGACTTGTTTTTTCTAGAACAAAATTTATGAAAGTAAGAGATACCTCATAAACGTTCAACCAAGAACAACCCCTGCAGTGGCATTCTGGGAAATTACTTCTGAAAGTAATGTTAGAAGAAACAGTACGTATGAGCTTGATTGTATTATTTGCAATGTTCTAGAAATATGAGAAATATGAAATCAGACCACCACCACCCACCCCCCTCAACAAACCCTTGGCACAAAAGAGACGATAATATTAAAAATTAAGCACACAGGCAGGAAAAGTAAATCAGTTCTGAATATTTTTGGAAAGACGTAGCAGCTATATTGCTGCCATCCTGGAAGCTCTTTTGAGTCATCTAGGTTGCATCAGTACAGTGCCAAGCAGTATCCTGTGCAAGTACCAGCCTCAAATAGCAACTTTGTTTAGACGCTGCACGTACAAAGAGCTTAAAAAGGTTCAAACACAGCACAGTTGCTGGTAGGGTAAATAAACTATATGCTTTCAGGGTTCCTTAACAGAGTGGCTGTAGTCAACAGCAACATCTTGAATATTGCAGGGCAAATTAGAAGGTCGTATATTTCATCATGTGCTCCACTCATTCCTTCGGGAATGGGAAAAAAATTACGCTCAGAATCGGGTCTCCAAGCGAGGTCGGGGCAGAGTGACCTGCCCTTTTCCACTTCTGCTTAGCTTTAGCAGGCTTTGTCTCGGTTTTAACTTAAAAGTTTACTCTTAGAATATGCTAGATATCCAAAACCACTGGGGCAGAAAAGGCGGAGAACCTTCTGCCAGCATCCATCTCTGGTTTTAAAACTTGACTGCTTTATAATATGATACCGTCAACACGCCACATCTAGCCTACAATTTTAATATAAGCTAATTAGAGTAGGTTGGCAAGCATATTCAAAGAAACACAGTTTTATATGCTAAATAGGTTAAAGCCCAGGAGCCAAAAATACTGTTTGGTAGACAGGAACGCAGTCAAATCATGTGAAAATATGGCTGGGAATCTGGTAAACTGGCATATTTTCCTATCACCACCCACAATTTCTTTCGCAAGGTTTATTGTGTGATCACAAGGCTTTCCTTTTAACATTATTAAGAGTACTACTTGTAAGTATTTACACGGCACAGACCTGTTTTGCAGACAAAGCGCCCGCAGGATGACATCAATTAGTAGCATCTTTCCTGGGAGACGCTTCCTGAGTGCAAAGTTAGGACGTGATGAAAAATGTTAGTTGTGGGCACGGTCAAATAATAGGGCTGATTAAAATGGAGCTACACATTAAACAAACAAAACAGACCCAATCTCACAAGGAGGCCAGTGGTTTGTTTGAGCTTCTGGGCAGCTCTAGGAATTTTATTCTTGTAACATGACAGACCGACAGTAAACTGAAAATTTTCTCGCAGTTACAAGCTCAGCGCCAACAAGAAGCATCGGGAATCAGGTTTCCGTGGTGTAAAACCGGCTCTCTCTGTCTTTTTCTGCTGCTGCATTTTGTTTGCTGCATGAGCAAAAGCATTGCCCCGTCAGCATTACTCTTTCTTCTATTATTGTACCATAGTTTCAGATTTAATGTTGCTCTGTTCAGTGACCTCCCTTCTCTTCGGGCAGAAGACTTTTTAAACTGTAATTTAATTCACTCTGGAGTATGATATTAAATGGTAATTATTTTAGAAAGAGAAAGCATGTATTTAAGTCACTCCTACTTAAAGACGGAGAAACTTCCAGGGAAAGCAAACCTCAACATCTTGTAGCAAACTGTAATGGTGTCATCAAATCACACTACCGTGCTTTTGTGTATTCAGTTGTTGCACAGAGATTCAATCCCCAAAGCTCAGTCTGCTGCTTGCACTTACTGAGCGCTGCGTTCAGAACATAACTGATGGCTGATGGGCAAATCTAAAAACATTCATGCTTTAGTTTCTTTCACCTATCTTGTCAACAGAGAGGAAACACATCTCCGATTCAACTGTATAAACATTTTATTTAGGAATATATTGAGATCCAGACTTGAGAAGAAAATTCAGTTGTTACATAAT